ATTTTGTATTTCAAAATATGGTTTTGCAAATTAAACATTGAAAGGTGTGAGGAATGGATGCAGAACGCGTAAATATTTATACGATATATCTCATAGAGTAGACGTAGCGTGTCTCCGGATGGGACATCGTCGATTCAAACCGATATCTCCAAGAAACGTTATGTAAGAACCGCTTCGGACTGGCCGTGAACTTAACGGCGTTGTCGTCGTGATCGTCGCAGTCGAACGCGGAGGCCTCCCTTTCCACGCACTTTACACATTCGGTGCACTCGAGTATGCACAAAAGAATATGGATTTCAGTATTCAATTTGATTCTTTTTATCTTATCACAACGACAGTTATATAAATTATATATAAATTATTATATATAAGTAACGATTATTAAAAAGAAAAACAAGACAAAATTACAAGGTATAGCAATAGTATATATATGACAATCTAATTCAATTAATCTATTTATTAATTTAAAAATAAGATGGATATGCAAGATTGATGTAAACATTTATATCTCATTTTCTTTTTTCTTGATATGATTGTCGATTTTACTTCTGATTCTTTTACTTTTAATTATTTAGAATAGTTAATAAATAGAATTTCCGTGAAGAATAGTTATATTTAAAATAGAATTAATATACTTACCCTCTTATTTTGGAAACAGTTAAATATAATAAATGATAAAAATTAAGGGTAAACCTCAATAAATATGAAATTCGATAATTGTTAACTTTTAATGAAAAATTACGTCATGTAGAATGTTTATTTTTGTAAATATATAATTATAGAATTACTAAACAATTACTTTATATCTAGAAACATATCATTTGTTGACCTATCTCACTATTCGTTTTTTGCTTCTTCAGTATGTAACTCGCGCGATAATTTATTTTTAACATTTACTTGCTCTATAAAACTATATTTGTCGAAAATATATACAATATATTATCATGTTTTTTTATATATTAGGTGTTGGAATTAATTCGTAGCGTTTTACAAGTGATGGGAAGTACTTTCATTAATGTATTTTTTAATGCTCATGTGAAATAAATAACATTCTTTCATTAAAAAACGCTACGAATTAATTCCAACACCTAATAAAATGTATGTTTCATTATTACGTTTGTATTGAATTTATATAATTGAATAAAAATTATATCTCACAAATATAACCGATAATACATTTTAAATAAGCTTTTTGTAATTGTAGATAAAATGTATAAGATATTTCGTGATAGAGTTAAAAAAATATTTCTGTAAGTAAAATTTTTCCACGTACAGAACAGTTAAGGCCTAAACATCAAACGCAATTCCAATCTGCTATTCGTTTCTAACGCAGAGACTTTTGTTTGTTTTTCAAGAAATAAATCTCTACATCACTTTTCAGATGCAATTTTAACAAAAAAAGTGTTCAAACATAAATTATATCCAGAAATCAGCGATATTCTCGAAATATTATATGTTCAAAATTCTCAAATGCTGCTAAATATTTTAACCAAGATTTTAATAAAAAAAGCGAGATGACTGTCTATAATTTTAGATGATTTTTTTGTATGTATAATACATATAAAAATTATAAAAAGTCTGTTAAACCTGTTTAAAACTAAGTTTTTACATTTAATCTTATATTATAGAATAATAGTTACAGTTTATGTCATAAGAATAATTTCTTACGTTTTAATATATTTAATTAATAAGTCAACAAATAAGGTTTATAATCTTACCATTAATATTAATTTGCAAATATATAAAATAATAAACGCGACCAATATGTTGTTTGATTGATTCATTGCTTTTAAATATTTTATATAGAAATACTTTCATAATATATTCATAATATATATGTTTCCAATAAAAATATAAAATTGCAATAATTACAATTTTCAAAAAAGTCAATTTTTAAATGTCATAGAATCTGTAATTAAAATCTTAAGCGACAGAAAACTGATGTCTGTAAATTTATTATACCGAGGTCAATAATCGAAGTCTCTTTAGCTTGGAGTGATAACAAGTTGCAGCGAGTGAGAAAAAAACTTATATAAGTAAAAGAATAAATTTTAGCAGAAAAGAATAAAAACATGTAGATATAGAAGGAACGTAAAATACAGTATTATTAAAATGCAATAATATGTTTTTTAATATTTCTTAATTAATTTCTAAAAGAACTAAAGAGTAAACGTTATTTTTTAAATAATAGTCTGTAACAGAAATTGATAAAAAAATTGCATTAGATTTGACGTTATCTTCAAAGAAAAATTAGTTTGCTATAAATAGCATTAATTAGTAGAATGGAATACTTTTAATTGATTGGAATACTTTTAATTGATTATAGTTTAAAAAATTTTTTTAATATATATATTTTTTTAATATATATAGATTGTTTAATATATATAGGTAGTTTTATTAAAAGTTTTTCTTTTCTTATTTTAAACTTGTCTTACACAATTGTTTGTTCATTCTTTTATTTAATTCTGCTAGTGCATGATTAAAAGGTTAAAAATTATATCATATAAATTTTGAAGAAATTATTGTTTGTCTAAATTAATATTATTATATCTAATACAGAGTTTTACAATAATTTCGTGATTCTTTATAATTTATGTTAGTTTTGTTTTATAAAATTATATATTTAATATATCTTATTTGAATTGTATTGTACGAGGGCAAGGTGAAAAGTAACTGACCTCAACATGAAAACATGAACTATGTAAAAGTTTTTAGTTAAGTACCAAGTGTTATATATCAAATTATTCGCATTGAAAATATCTGTAATTTCTCCTTTGACCACTTTGCTAAACAATTCACAGCTAAAAAGTTATAGCCAAAAAACCATAAGAAGAAAAAAAGCAAAAAACGAAAATTTAAGAAAAAAAGTACGACTTGTTGTTGAAGATGCCGCCATCGAAGTCAAACTTTTCGGTATATATTCAAGTGTTATATATCATATTGCTCACATTAAAGGCGGCTACAATTTCTGCCTTGACCATTTTTCTCTACAGGTTAGCATAGGTTCGGTAGGTTTATAAGTTGCTGTGGCAGATTTGAAAAAAAGCGCTAACATATTTTTGACTCTAACTTTTTAGCTATGAATTGTTCAGAAAAGTGGTCAAAATATAAATTATAGATATTTTTAATACGAGTAATTTGATATATAACACTTGGTACTTAACTAAAAACTTTGTACATAGTTCATGTTTTCATGTTGAGGTCGGTTATTTTTCACCTTGCCCTCGTACCTATATTACAATTCTCAATACATCATTTTTATTATAATTTTTATAAATATCATAAATACACATTAAAATTTTGTCGAGTATTTCTTATTTTTTAAATTAAAATTATCATTTTAATATGTTTGTTGTTCTTCAATACTTAGTTTTTTGAAATTAAAATTTGGCGAGAATTTACGTATAAAATACAAAATAAAATAATAAATGATATAGAATTACATACATGTATAATTATAGCGCTATTATTTTTTAAATGATATATAATATGAAGGTAAATCTCCGGAATATTTTCGATAGAGTTACATTTCTCTTGCGTTAATTTATATATAGAGTTCTCACTCTTGTTATATAGTTTTCGTTAATTAATTGCTATTTAAAAGAGTGCCAGTTTTATCCATGATCGTAGCAATTTTGCTCTGTTGTTATTTGATATTTCCACATTAATCCATACATATATCCTATTCTTTAAACAACTACTTACATTAATCTAGATAAAATAGAAATATAGTCCTTTCATAACAGGATGCTTTTTTAGTGCTAAATGTTCATGATTTTGATTAAATCGGGGCAGATTATAAAAATGGCAGATTATAAAATGTGAATGATGAATCAATATACTTTTAGTCTACCTGAAACATTATTCAGATTAGGTGTTTCGTAATAATCTTTATATAACCACATATTTTTACCATTTACTCGAGAATAGAAAAATTTAAAAATGGTAGCCAGATTTTTTAAGAATCGTTTCTAATGTTATTCCTTTGTATGGAAATACTTTGTATTGAATAAGTAAATTTGATACAACTCAGTTGAATTAATTAATTTTAACTTAAACTAAATAGATCATAGAAGCGTTTCATGATCAAAAGACTTCATTGAAATTGTGACATTGATACGATACATCAAACTGATAAGCGTGATTCAAATAGAAAATATTTCAATTTGATGATAGATTTTAATGATTTATAGTTATTAAGCAATATTTTTCGGATATTTTTCTTAGGTATTGTTATATATATTAAATAATATCGGAACATTTTTACCATTATTATCATTAATGTCTTATCTTATAATTTTTATTCTATTTTATTTTAATATATTAGGTGTTGGAATTAATTCGTAGCGTTTTACAAGTGATGGGAAGTACTTTCATTAATGTATTTTTTAATGCTCATGTGAAATAAATAACATTCTTTCATTAAAAAACGCTACGAATTAATTCCAACACCTAATAATAATTTCTTTCGTAAAATATTTTTATTTTAAATTATATTATTTTTTCCTAAGTTACTATTATTATTAGTAATATTTTTTTAAGCATTTTTTATTTCTTAAACAACATAAAACATTAGAGAGATTTTCTGAAAGATATTTAAAAGATATATAAAAGCATCGAAAAGGATTTTTGTATCTATGAAATTAAATTCACTTTTGTGGCCAAAAATTCCTACTAGATATAAGGTTTTATTAAATGTGTCTTATTTTTTTAAACTAATTTCTTTATTTGTAAAGACTAAATATTACAAGTTTGCTGACTCGTAAAATATTTTCATCATTGAAACACAGAAGAAAATTAACAGGAGTTAATTAAAAATCACTAATCAATAAAAACCTTTTTCTTATTCTTATTCGATCCTATTCAATAAAATAAAAACTTTAAGCGTACATCATGTTGTCATTGATAAGGAGTACTGATACATTAAATACAACTTAAATATGACAAATATTCATCGAGAGACAAAGACGTGTTATAAGGAGATAAGGTGATTTTCTTACCGAGATGAACTGCCAGGTTGTATCTCTCCAGTGCTTGACCTAGGTGACCCTTCCTCATGAGAATATCACCCTCATGCCTCGCCCGACTGGCCTCCACTTCTCGTGGCCACCATTTCTCCACGAGTCTTTGCACTAGCACATTTGTTTCACTCACAATAGCGATTTTAACTCCACATACGTGACAGTTCTTTGATGGATCCACGCAGTTTCTGCAGTACGTGTGACCACAGCCGGCGGTCATTGGCTGATAGAGAGTGCCTTCACACAAAGGACACGCGAAGGATGTCTCGATCCTCCGTCTGGGATTCGTTCCAATACTGACCATGTCTTCCAGGAGCGCGGTTGCCAGGTGTTTCAGTCTATCGGCCGGCACGGACATCGCCGTTGAACACCTGGAGTAGATCTCAATGGACTCCTTGACACGACCGCACTTGAGCAAGGAGTCGCCATAACCAAGCAGCACCTCATAGCTCGATCCTTGCTGCTTCAGACATCGCTCGTACAGTTCGACCGCTAGATGGTAGTTACGGGAGGTGAACGCCTCCTTAGCCAGCTCCGTCATCGCGCTGCTCCTCGTGCGTCACTCTTCGGGAGTGAGAACGGAGTGTATCCTTTCGCGACGCGTTCTCTTTATGAGTAAATCACATACGCGCGTCGGACGTCTTCTCGGTAAAAACCGTTCAATGCCGGTTTCGTGATGTCACACATTTTTTCGAAACTACGTGCGCGGGAATTACGCGCGGATTGCGTGACAAAGATACGGTCTGCCGGAAATCAGGAATACAGTAGCACGATCACGGGTCACTTGACCCCGGAATAGATAACAATGATTCACTTAAACGGGATTCATCGAAATCGTCGGAGCGACACGCAGAGAGTTTGACAGCTGGCCGTCCACGCGTGCTGCTCCGCACGTTAACGCGCGTGCGACCGCTCCATACGGCACGCTGGCGCACTGAGGACTGACGCCTCGGCTGTCATCGGTCGGCCGAGCCACTGTCAGAGTCGGCCGCTCGGTCGACCGTCAGCAGGGGATGGTGGTGGTGCGACGATGCTGGCGGCGGGGGTAGCGGTGGAAGAGTCCAGCCGCCTCCGAGACACGAAGCCAGCGCCACGCGGCTTCGGATACACCACAACGGGGTCTGGGAGGTCGCGGAGAGAATTACGGATCACGCTATAGAAGTTCGAGAAGTGTGTTGCCGTTTTACTTACACCGTACCGGCGCGGCGTGTCTGCTACAATGCGTAGGTGTTGTTGCCGCACTCCCGACGCTACTCCCACCCGACGAGGCGTCGACACGTCACAGCGAAGCACGTCTCTTTGTCTGTTGAGTGTCCCCTAATCTTCGGTCCTCATTATTGAGCAAATTGTTATTGTCATGTGCAACGGTATGGCACGTGATATCTTTTTATCATTCAGCTTTCAGAGAATTTCGGTGATTTTTCCTATTCTCCTCAAGCATCTTTATATTCTTTCTTGATTTTTCCCATCCATTAGGTGTTACTGTCGATAAAAGGCTTATTGCTTTGTTTGGATCAAGCAGATGGTAAAAACCGTGATTGTTTCTTTTTTCTTAATTCTTTTTCGTCTTTGATGTTTACTTTAGTTATTGTAACTTATAATAAATGAGTATTGAGCTTAAATTGTAACTTACAGTGATTTATGATTGTCATCTATTATACATTATTTCGATCTTGTGTCTATGTATTCTACGTATTTATCTGCGTATATAAGAAGGCATAACAAGTCTTCGTTGAATTGCTCTTATTTTCTGTAGGGTTCTATATTAATCATATAATTACGTAAAGCACGTAATTATTAGTTAGAAATACAATCTAAATTTTATCAGTTATAAAAAATTATAACTATATATATCTATTCGATCCATTAATTTAAAACAGTTGTTCGTCCAAATGTTCCTTTCTTAATATCTTGAAAATATTTAAAGTTTATATAAGTCTATTGAGTTAAAAACTCGCACTATTTTCTTATCGCGTACAATTATATAAGCATCGATATCACCTTGGAATTCAATAACGTCAGTCAACGATTCTGTTATCGGTAAGCGCAACGATGTATTAAAAATCGCTTCGATTCGTCATTTATATCCTTCACATCCTTGTATTCGCTCTTGTCAGAATTATTTTTGTACCAAACCCAATTACAAATGATTTTAATACTATTAACTCCTGCAAATTTTACGAAATACCTGCTTGGATATTTGCTACAACTTTAGCTCGATCGACCGGGTTCTTCCAACGGGAATGGTCTCGCCGGAATCAAGTCGGATGTGCACAAACTGTACGATGGCGTGTCAGGGAGAAAGAGCGTGATTGCATTGTCGATCTATAGTAACGTGGAGCAAGTATGACGAGCTCTTTATAAGGTATAAACTGCTTTTCACTGGCAAATGTCAGTCTTCTAGTTTCCAGAGTTCTTACTGAGCATGAGAGGTAACTTTATCCCGAGATATCACGTTTGTCTGATTCGTGTAGATGCACGCATGTGCGTAAAGAGAGTACGCAGACGCCACAGGACCCTTCTCCGAAATGAAAGGAGAGGGCTGAACTGCATACCGCGAGGACAGTAAGGGAAAGGGTGACGAAGAATAAGAGATCAATATATGGCGAGTTCACGAGGTGATTAACCTCTTGTACCTATCGTCTATTTATGGAGTGTTCTCTTTTGCTGTTTTAATATTTAAGAAGAAATTGTTTTATTTTAAACCAACTTTATCATTTATATAAATAATAGATGTAAAAAATTTTTAAGAAGTTATACAATGTAATATTGAATATTACACTTATTCCATTTTTTTTTCTTTCTAAGTTTTAATAATATAAATATATATCGATATTTTGTTTTTTGAATGCTTTTAAATAGACTTCTAACATACATATATACTTATTAATGTATATATATATATATATATATATATACGTATATACATATATGTATATTTTAAAAAAAAGAGATGAAAAATGAAAATAAATCGATCAATTTAATTGTTCACATTTCACAATAAAAATCATGTAAAATTTCCGAAAATATATCATTATAAATTTGAATTATTTTGATTGTTTTTGTAATTATAATTTT